TATTTAAAATAAGACTTCCATTTTGTTAGGAGTCGAGAAAAGTTTTAAGTTCTCAAGACCTCCCTGGGAACTGACATCCTACTTGGCAGAAAGAGACATGTTCGTGGCTAACTGACATCCTGGCTGTCAAGTTAAGACAGGAATGTTAGACAAGGCAAGTCCCCTGTCACAGTTGAATACCCCAACCAATGGGAGCAGGGTAAGTGTACAACAAAGATATGTTCCTAAAGAAATATCCCTAAATCCTGATTGGTGGAATAACTTGGCACAGATATTTGTAGATTTTAAGCTTAAAAATCCTGTAGAATCTTAACTCAGTGTCACAGTCCAGCTCCTGACCCTGAATCCTGACCCTGAGCCATCAGTTCTGGGGTAGTGTATGCTCAATAAACTATCCCTGTCTGACTGAGATCAGTACATGTGTGTTTTGTCAGACGAGTCCTGGACCCCAACACTGTCAGCCCCTGCCCCCACTACCATTCCCCAAAAGATTTTGTTTATATTCCTTAGCAGACCTTTTAGATGGAAACTTCAAAGTCCACTAAAATGGTGCTGAATATTGTGAGAACAAGGATGGACTCTCAGACAACCCCACACTCATGCTCTTAGGTGTACCTTGTTGCTTCTGTGTTTCCTCCCTTCCTCTGAACTCTCGTGTTAAAGTCTATGTTAAAATTTCTTTATTAGACTCTGTCTCTGTTTTGTACTGACTAGTCCTGAAATTATTGTCTAGGCCAAAGTCTTGAGTCCCCGACTGATCTGAGACAAGGTTTCTAAAAGATTAAGCAAGTTCTTCTGGGTGCTGTGGATGAGATGTCTCTACCCCAGGACACTGTAGAAAGTGGTATTGTTCTCTTTCCCGAAAATCCAAATGAAGGTTGGACATGCAAAGCCCCTAACATGTAAAAAATCAGTTATAAAAATGAAACTCTTGCTTTTACTATAACACAAAATATCCAGAGACCCTGATAGGAAAATGAAGACTTAGTTCTTGAAAAGGAAGTGCAAACTAGGAGGTGGCAGCGGCTCTGGAAAGCAGAGACAGGCAGTTCTCTGTGAGTTTGAGGCCAGCCTGGTCTACAGAGGGAATTCTATCATAGCCAGAGCTAATCCTGTCTTGAAGAAAAAAAGAAAGGAACTACTGCTTTGTTTATTTTAATTTTTAATTAGTGCGCCCTGAGGCAGATAGAAAGACAGAGAAACTTTAGGGAAGATGAGAAGAGGAAGGAGCCTCTGACGGCTTACCAGCAGAGAAGCAAGAATTTCAGCACAGCTAAAATTCCCCGCTTCCAGCCACAAGACTATGATTCTCTAGGCATCGCACCAGAAACCTCACTTATAGGAAAGGACATGTCCAAAGACTTGTATAATTCTAATAGCTTCTGGTTTTGTCTTTTCGGGCTATAACTACCTCCACAATGACCCTAGACTCTCACTTAGCAAGCTAGGGTGTGGGTGGGCCGAATTTCAGTTACCTCTTGAGACATAACCTGTGAGCCACCAAACTGGTATATAGGATTGATCCTAAAATACTTAATTGTGACTCTCCTTTGAGGAACGGAGACTCATACTAGGACATGTCTTAGGTGTGTTTTATTTTCTTTCCTTAAGTATCCTCCTTTCTCCTAGATTAATCCTTTATAAAAATATTTTGAGCCAGACACATTTTTGATCCCAGCACTAGGGAGGCAGAAGCAGGTGGGTCTCTGAGTTTGAGGCCAGCCAGGTCTACATAGAGAGTTCCAGGCTAGCCAAGGCTACATAGAGGAGACCCACCCTCAGAACAAAACAAAACAAAACACCAGAGAAATTGAGATGACTCCGCTAGTAGGCACTTGTGGCCAGGCCTGTAGATGCAGATTTGACCACTGGGGGCCCCATGTAGCAAAAGGAGAGAATCAATTCCAGCAAGATGTCCTCCAATCTCCACGAGTGCATGCACACACACTAATAAAGTAATACAATAAAGCCAGACATGGTGGCACACACCTTCGATCCCAGCACTCCGGAGGCGGAGGTGGTGGATCTCTGTTCTACATAGTGAGTTCCAGGACAGCCAGGACTACTTAGATATTCTATGTAGACTACAAATACTACTACATATTGTTTTTAAAAAAGCCAATCAATCAATAAATGCATTTTTAATAAAATCTCCAACTCTTGATACTAGCTAGGTCTGAAATTCTTTTCTGTGATGAAGCCAAGGACCCTAGTATGGTCAAGTTGAGGTCACTTAAAGAGGAGGACTCTGCTCAGGCTGCTGAGGGAGACAGCACAGTCTCCCCACTGCAGACGGACTGCAGAATCTTCAGCACTGATTTTCCTTCCTCAGGGAACTTCAGCTCACAGTGAGTGGATGTGACTGACACTCCTT